GGACCAAGCTTGGAGTGGTCCAAAAGGAAGGACAGTGTCAGCATAAATTCAGAGATGATTTGAGGATCTACAGCTGAGTGATACACAAATAAGATACATTTATGTTATTAGTTAAGGTACTTGAATGCATTTTTAAGATTTAGGTCCCAAGTTTAGAGTCACTTTAAGTTATTTACTAGAGAAGGTCCTTTTTTAGAAGATGTATATATAGAAAAAACAGCATTATGCTTTTACTTAGGGATGCACCGATTTATCAGTTGCCAAAACATATCGGACGAAAATGGCACGTTTGACAAAATGCTGAAAGTGCCAATTTCTGGCCGAAATAGCGGTGCTTCCATTCTCTCTCTCCTCGCTGCTCTGTGTCCCAGCGGGGAGGAGAGAAACGGTCACAGGAGGCCTACTCTGCGAGTGCCAGCGTCTCTCCTCCCTGCACTGCTCAGCCTCCCGTCAAAGATCAGGAGAGTGGTGTGGGGCAGAGACAGCCATTGCAGTCACAGAAAGCCAAGCTTTCCTTCCGCATCACCCCGCCTCCTGTAAGGATGGAAAGTGGGTACAAACAACTCAGTGATTGCCAAGTGTTTGTAAACAATTAACTGAGTATGTTTACTATATCCTCAATTATGAATGAATGGGAAGTGATCTACATCACTTCCTGTTCATTCATGATTGTGGATATAGTAAAACACACTATGTCCACAAGTTATGAATGAACAGGAACACTCAGTATAGAGGATTCCTGTTAATTTATAACAGGGGCTGGGGAAAAAGAGATTGAGGACTCTGATCTCAATCTCTTTTTCAATTTTAAAAAGGGAAATATCAGGGGTCTGTTAAGACTCCTAATATTTCCCCGAACCCAAAAAGTAAAGTAAAAATATTTAATAAAAAATATCAAAATATTAAAAAGTTTATAAAAAATAAATATTAAATTTTTTTTTGAAAAAGTTAGAATAAAAAAACATTTTCGGTTTCGGCCTTTTTTTCATTTCAGTTTTTAAATTTTCATTTAGGTGCACCTCTACTTTTACCTCACTTCCTGTCCTGCTGACATTGGTTTATCCAGACAGCAAGTGAGGCAAAATCGGCAACAGAGACAGAAATAAAAATGTGACAGGGGTCTATACTTCACCTACTCTACTAAAGATCCTAAAGATATGCGTTTGCCTAATTTCCTCTCTGGTAAAATGTCAGCAAGATAGGAAGTGATCTCTGAGCCCCAGGGGTTCCAACTCTTCCCCACTCCGTGCAAAACTAAGAACTAAAAAGACAATCACTTAAGTAATGCCACATCTGCCAAGAAGGCTTAGTTGTTGCAGGATAGGTAGCGTTACAGAACTCCTCATATTAAACAAAATATTGTCATGTGTATGGCCGGCTTTGGGTCATTACATGTGCTATGTGGGACAGGTTTCAAGATCCGCATGATAAAAATTTGTATTTTGATTTCACACTGAAGGACTGTGGTGGACTAATTCTATACAATAGTTCATCACAGTTCTTCAGATATTATATAGTTATATATTTATTAGGGATGCACCTATACTAGTAAATTGGTACCGATACTGAGTACTTGTACTTGCCTAAATGCTCCAATACGTTCCCCAATACAGAAACTTCCAGTCAGAGAAAGATTCCCTCTGACCGGCAGTGCCTTAGGGGAAACATGAAGCCGGCTTCCCGGGCAATCAGGAAGCCGGGTGGCCAGTAATGACCCACCTCCCAGCTTCCTGATTGGCTGAACAGCCGGCTCGATGTCGATTAACTGGGAAGATGTCCCTCTGACGGGCAGTGCCGAGGGAGCATGGAGCCGGCTTCCTTTCCAATCACGAAGCCGGGCGGTGGGTTATGAACCGCCTCCCTGATTAGCTAGGACGCTGACTTCATTTGCTGCTAGGCAGCCTGGCTCTCTAACCAATCATGAAGCCGGGCGGCACGTAATGACCCACCTCCCAGCTTCCTGACTGGTCAGGAAGCCAGGCTACCTAGGAACAAGTGAAGCCAGCTTCCTAACCAATCAGGAAGCTGGGTGGCACATCATGACTCTCCACCAGGCTTCCTGATTGATCAGGAAGCCACGCTGACTAGCAATGCTGCCTAGCAACAAGTGTAGCCGAACTTCCCATTTGGCTAGGAAGCTGGTTTTACTTGTTACTAGGCAGCCTGGCTTTCTGACCAATCAGGAAGCCGGTCGACACCTCATGACCTGGTGCCCTGTTTTCCTAATTGGTCAGGAAGCCAGGCAGCCTCGGCAAGTAAAACCAGTGTTTTCGATAGAACACTGGCTTCCCAGGCAATCAGGAAGCCAGGCAAAAGGGTCATGATCCGCCGCTCGACTTCCTGATAATTGTGGCACACGGCACCGGTATCTGCAAGTAGGGCTGCAACAACTAAACGACTTGCAAGTACCCAAAAAAATAAAAATTATATATATATATATGTACTTGTGACCCAAAAACTGGTATCTGTGCATCCCCAATATATAGATCCTGGTAATGGAAAAGCCCTACAACCATCCCAACATGTAAAGCAAATGTGAGAAATCCTCCAATTAAGGCTATTTCAGTAAATGTAAGTAGTATCAGATTTCTAGATCATTAAAGTGGATAGTCAAAATGTAGGTTTTAGTGCCAAGTCATTAGTTTGCCTGCAAGAAATCCAACATCTCACATGCAATGGCTCCACACAATGTCACGGATATTTAAGTAAAAGGTATGCAAACCTAAAATAATTTCTATTGACATTTAAACATCTATATGCACAAAACAAAACGAGCATACATGCACATTTATGTTCCTTTTGTTTAATTTTGGCTAGAGCAGGGAAAGGTTAAAGCCTCTGCCGGGAATTGATTGTCCTTCCTCTTACATCCTTGTCGAACAGGAAGTGATGCATAATCTCTAACGGGGACACAATAAAACCCTGCAATGTTTATATTTCTGTCATGGTGACTATTCCACCCCTTATGTCTAGTATAGAAGTTAGGGAACCAAAACCAGAAATAAGAAAATAGCGTAAATTTTAACTCTTCCTTGCTCCAATTAGTCTAACACTGTTTAGCAAAGTGGACTTTGATTTGGA